TTGGCAAACTATCAGTGGTCCCCGCATCAATTTGCGGATGATTGGGGTTTCCTACTGACTTCTACCTTGGTTAGTTTGACTGTTTCTGTTCCTTCTGTAGAGATACCTTGGTGATGGGACTTTGTTTACCTGCTGTAGCCTCTGGGTATTACATGTGGTTTCTTTTTATCATCACTTGATGTTTGTGGGTGTCCCAAAAGCGTTTGTATTGCGATTCGCCATCACTCATTTGCTTTATTTGTTGTTGTTGACCTCTTGTCCTTCTTTGGCTCTAGCAGCTGCATAGGCTCAGACCTTAGTTTCATGGCCACTCCAGTTAAGTCTACCGATGCCAACAGCATCACTATCAACCTCGGTGGGTGGGGGGAGAGGTCAGTTAAAGTGAGGATACAACTGTTGATGGACACCTGGTATTCCTTCAGTGCAGATTCAGGGCTATTTCAGGTTCTAGTATCGAGGTTGGTCTTTCCATTCAATTTTCCATTGTTCTCTCACCCTGTGGTATTTCCACCTCCACCTGACCAGTGGTGTGTGGATTTTCGTTTCACATCTATCAGAGTCACTGATCATGGGGATGTTAGTGGCAGTTGATCCCATTCTTCAGGGATTTTATTCTTACCTGAGATAAGAGGTTATTTGTGGACGATCGTCTTTCTTTCTCATCTCAACCCATTCTTCATTCCTCCCCTGTCCACAATGGAGTCCTTTCTCACCCTACATTGGCATTCTTCACCAAATCCATGGATGCCCAAGTTGGAGGTTGCTGAGGCATTTCTCCACAATCTCATAGTGAATTCATCTAGCCTTTAGCTATGTTTTGTATGCACAGATCTAGTACTGCAGTTCAGGGATCTAGCCTTTGGTCTAGCATCAGCACCATATGTCTTCTGCTGAGTTGTACAAGTTTTTCACCATGTTTTATGCCTGGACCAGCTGCCTCCTATCCAGCTCCAGGCTGTGAAATGAGCAGTCAGGCTCTTACTTACAGGGATGGTTTTATCTCTGGGATTGTGGGTTTCCCTCAAATCTCTCAATTTTTTTGGGATGAGGACACATGCTATTCCTTCAGTGGTCCCATTGCAACTAAAGGATCTGGTTTAGATCAGCTCTATCATTAACGTGTGTGTGTGTGTAATCCATTTGGTCAGGTGAAAGTGAGGAGTGATACTGACCATCTGCTATGAAATCCATCACTCAAGGAAAATGGCAAGCCAGGAGGCTGAAATGATTGGAATAAGCCCCATAGAGAAAGAACCAATTTAAGAAACCACTGAAACTGATTAAATGTCTCATGAGGATATTCCCCCGCAAGAGATCTAGACCTTGCACTATTGTCTGTTAGGCAGCAAGAAGTTCAAAATTATAGATACAGAATGAAGATTCGTCCTCCACTTGTCTGGAATTCCTGACCTTGAGGATGCAAAACTGCATCCCCGAAATGAAGTATCTGCGAAGAGATAAAGTATGGACAGAGGTACAGTATACAATGACATACCCACACATATATATATATATATCTCACACACACACACATATATATGTAAACCCACATACACACAGATATATACATAAACACACAGATACCCATACATACATCTCTGGCTTCGATGGTAGATACAGTCAGTCCTGCTTGGATGAGATTGCTCACCAATGACTTTACCTCACTTCATCTGTTACTCAGAGTTCTGACTATATTTCAATCGTCTACATGAGTGATGTTGCTAGCCTAGATTGACCGACCTATCCTTATTTCCTCTTCTACAGTTTCTTCATGTGAGTCCACTTCTGCATCCTCCTCTTTGGCTATCTTTATTGAGGCATTCTCAACCCCACATTCTACAATAAGACTTTTCCCAGTTCATTGGGGTTTAACATCAACTCTTGCCTGGGGTATGCCTCACAAGAAGTTTGTACCCATGTTCCCAAACATGTTCGCCATATCTTGTTTTGACCTGTTTTTTTTACTCTGGTTTAGTTTCATCTCCTGTCGTTTCTGTCAGACAACTTTTTCATCTCCTTTTAGTTATACTAAACTTCAGAAGGTTTGGACTACCCAGTGCTGTCCAGCCTTCTTTCCAAGTGGCAGTTTTTCCATTACTTACTCAAGATATTAAGATGGTACTACGTGCCTTGTCTCGACAACCATTTGAGCCTTTAGCCTCATGTACCATGTATCACCTCTCCCTTAATGGGTATCAGGACAAGTGTGCACCATTTGGATGTCAAGTGCACATCTGCATATAAGATTCCAAAATTTATGTACAAATAATAATTCTAACTCTATTTTAACAAATGTTAAATCAAAAATATTTTTAACTTCATACTTCATAATTGTATAACTTCCAAAACACCAGTACCTCCTCTCCCCCATAGCTATCTCAACCTTCAGTTGCCCTCTAGGCATTTGTAAATCCTCACTTACTCGATTGGCGTTCTCATTATAGACGCGTGTTTTACGTTCTTCATGTGACTGCACAAAGTTTGATTGTGCTTGATCACCAACTAATATCAGTTTCAAGTTCAAGTTTCTACTCGTTTGTTTTCTAGATGTTTCTGTTTCCTGAATTCTACTTTGTTCATATGAATTCAGGTTTCTTATGGCAGCTGATAATTTTCCTGCAAAAGTAGACAGCAGTTATACCACTAGGCTTCAGTCTCAGGTTTCACGATGTCTACTGAGGAAGCACAGTCTTTTGTTTGTGAGGTGTTCGTGTCTTAAGTTTGGCCAATGATATTTTCCTTTCAAGATAGGTATTGTTGTTCTTTTTCCCAAGAGATCTGTGATAAGTTTTTTCACTGTGTTTTTCCCTCTCCTTGTAGATATTCCCATGTTATTTGGGTTTATGTGAGCTCAAGTGTATAGATCTAATTTCTGCAATCAATAATTTGTCATTTGTGTCCTCTCTGATCAGTGTTGTATAAGTTTGAATTTTATACTTCTCTTACCATCAAGGTTACTTTAGTTTACAACTTGCGGCTAGAGTTTGTTTCTTGCATTAATTTTGTTTAATATTTTACATTTTTTCACTGTTAATGAAATTTAGTTATAAGTTCCTTTTTTTCTTTACTATTAGTCACATCTAATTGGGGATAAGTTTTGAGTGAACCTTTGTTTTTGTTAACTGGGTGCCTTTTTCTTCTCAAGTTCTTTAGGGTAAGTTTTTCTTTTCGTGTCCTTTATCTTGTAGTTTTCTTGAGTTGACTTCAACTTTTAAAGGTTGTTTATCTTATCAGTCCCTTTAGTGGTTTTTTGTACTGTAGGTGTTACTTATTGTTTTATGTTTTAGGTCAAGTTTCTTAGTTTTGCAGGTGTGTTACTTTTAAGCTCTTTGTAGACTACACATTTCTAGTTTTTGTTAGTTCATTAGTTCTGTGTACTTTCTTCAATTTATTCAGTTTGTGTCTTTTTGATTAAATTTCACGACAGTTCTGTTCTTTTTACGGGTTCTCTATGAGGGTTTCTGACTTTCATTTGTTCCCCCTCTACTCACTTCCCAGATCTCCTCCTCTTTTACCTTGTCCAGTCGTCTTGTTCAGTCTGTTCGTGTCCGACTACACAACAGATCCATCTAATGTATGGAGCCCACTCAAACAAGAGGTT